TTCATCAAAACAAAACAAAACGAAAAAATCACAAACAACACAAACGTCCATCAACAGGAAAATCAGTCACGTAGTTGTGTAATAACGACACAATGGAAAGTTATACAGCGATTAAGAGACACACTGGCATAGATAAATCCAAGGAACAAAATGGGGAGTGAAAAAAAGAAGTCACAAAAGACTATATTTGTATGGTAACCAGCATTTCTTAAAACTCAAAACCAAACAGCAGTATTATTTAGAAGTGTGTGCATACATAACATTTTTTCTTAAATAAGACATGGAATTCAGGATAGTGGTTACTTTTTTTTAGGAGGCCAGGATCAGACTAAAACAGGGCCTACAGGTATGGTTGCAAGATGAAATACAGGATACCCAGTTAAATCTGGATTTCAATAAACAACAAATAATGCGTTAGAATAAGTATGCCTCGTGCAACATTTGGGACATACTTACACCACTTAAAATTACTCTTTGTTTCTCTGAAATGCAAATTCAAGTGTGTATCCCATCTTATTAGTTTTTTTTTAAATATATTTTATTGATTTTTTAGAGAGGAAGGGAGAGGGAGAGAGAGAAACGTCAACAATGAGAGAGAGTCACTGACTGGCTGCCTCCCGCATGCCCCCTACTGGGGATTGAGCCTTCAACCCGGGCATGTTTCCTGACTGGGAATCGAACCCGTGACCTCCTGGTTTGTAGTCGATGCTCAGCCACTGAGCCACCGCTGGCCAGGCCTGAAGGCGACCCCTTAAAGCCACCTGACCCCGGGACCCGCTCCCGTGGCCCACACATGTACCTTTCCATGGACTTGCCCTTGGGAAGCATTCCTCACACCCCGCATTGCACCCCTGCCCGCCCTCCAGGAGCCTCTGTCCCCCCCAGCGCCTCACTCTCCCCCACAGGAGCCCCAAGACCCCCTAGCTTCCTAGCTCTCCTCCAAGCCCACCCAACAGCCCCCAAGCCTGGAGGCCTCGGCCCTGGCCTCTCGGGTCCTGGTGGGCGGCCAGCACAGCAGGACACAGTCCTCCACACAGGGACGGGCTGCCCGCCTCTCCACCTCCCTGACACACTTGGCGTCCTTCGCACCGCGACCCGCCCTGCCGGCACTCACCTATTTCTATGTGGGTCGAAATGCCGCACGGTGAGCCTCCGGGGCACAGGGCGCCCAGCGCGAGGAGCAGGCCGCACCAGACCCTGCAGGCAGACAGGCCCCGTGGCTCAGGGCTCCCGGGGCTGGGACAGACCCCGCCCCCGCCCCCCACCTGCCCCCAGCCCGGCCCGACCCTCCGCTCTCCCTCCCGTGAGCGAGTCGCTGGCACAGTAGCCAAGCCTCGTTTCTAGATAATATCCTTGGCCGGTAGATAGCTGTTTACTGTTAACTTCCCCAGAACAGCAAACACCTGCAGGGAGACCCACGTGCCCGCCGTGGGAGCAGCGGCTCCTGCAGGCTCCCGGCGTCCCCCTCTGACGTGGAGTTATATGGAGTCACCAGCAAAGTGGCCCCCAAGCACTTGCTTTCTCTCAAAAGCAGCCTCCCTGTCGCCCGGGGCGTCCCTGGCCCGGCCCCTCACCTTCCCAGGGCCGCCGGCCCGAGCATCCTGTCCCGGCCGCGGCTCCTCGGGCTCCGCCGCCTGCGCTGGGACGGCCGGAGGACCAGCTGGGGCGGCTTCTCGCTCCGCGTTTGGCAACAGATACTGACACTCGTGTGGGTTACACAAGAGCAGCCAGTCCTGCTCTCTCCCCTGTTCCCAGAGCTCCCTGCTGTGGGGCCGGATTCCTGCAGCCCCAGCCAAGACGCCCCGTCCCACGTGGGGCGGGGGCAGGGGACAGAGGCAGGACCCAGCTCAGGGCTCCCCAAACCCTGGGCTCAGGACGCACCTGCCGTGTGCTGTCCAGGCTGCAGCCCCTCATTGTGGGGACGGTTAGGTGAGTCTCCGTGGGAGTGACGGTGAGCTTAGAGCTGAGCAGGTTGCGCATTAAGAGCCAGAAGGGAGCCGGCCGGCCCGGCTCAGGGCTTCAGCATCGACCTATGAACCAGGAGGTCACGGTTCGATTCCCATCAGGGCACACACCCGGGTTGTGGGCTCCATCCCCCAGTGTGGGGCATGCAGGAGGCAGCTGATCCATGAGTCTCTCATCATTGATGTTTCTCTCTCTCCTCTCCCCTCCGCTCTGAAATAAAAAATATATATATAATAAATGAATAAAATAAAAATTATTTTTTAAAAAAGCCAGAAGGGAGACCTCAGAGGGGAGGAAAGGACGCCCGGCCTCAGCGAGGCGGCTGGGAGAGGAGCCTGGAAGATGGGATGATCTTCGCTCCTCAGCCGGCTGCCAAGTTTCCCTGTAACCTAACTCAGCTCCGGCCGGCTCCTCCGGGGCCTGGGCCGCTGCTGGAGGCCGAGACCATGGCTGATTGTTTTGTTTGGCTGAAAGGGTGTTTTACAAACATGGGCCAACTTTCTTCAAGTGGAAACATTCACACAGAAATTCAGACTTTTAGCTCTTTGGAAAAAACAAAACACACAAACAAGCACTGGCCTGGAAGGAAGGCCCCTGTGAAGGGGGTGGGCTGAAGCCGCTCTGAGTCAGTGCAGAGGCCCCCACCCCCCACCCCCACCCCCAGGGCCCCTCTGCTCCTCATGCTCATTAAGGTGCTGCTTCCGGCTGCGCCGCAGCTGGGGGCCAAGTCTCACACATCACACCCCCTTTGACTGGTTCTGGTTCTGGTTCTGACACGGGTCCTCATGACTGGGTTGTGGACCACCCAGTCAAAGTGGCTATATCTGGGCAGCCCATGAAGACCCTTGATTCTGACTC